GACTATCCTTAATTACTATGCCAAATATAAGCGTGATCTGTCAACCATTTTGTTTACAGCTTAAGTTGGTACGCCTCAGTGTGCGTTGCGAATTTTTCAATGGATAAAAAATATCGATCAAATAATTTGTGTCAAATTTTGTACTTCTAAACAAATTTCGTGTGGGGAATCCTTGCGAATGTTGAGAAAGGCTTACGGTAATTAAGTTTTATCAATAACAAAAGCATACGAGTGGTACAAAACTTTCAAAGACGATGGAGAAATCGTTGTAGACATAACATTTTCTGGACGGCAAAACAATTGTCATTATTTTTTTCGATATTCCGGCCGGAATTTTGGAAGAACAATTCATGGATTTTACACGATGATAAACCATCGTATCGAGTCACAATTGTGACCATATTAAAAGACAATAACGCATTGAGTATTTTCGCTTGTTCCCCAAACTGAAATTGCCCTTCCGTGGAACCCGTTTTGTGTGGATTGAAAAAATAAAAAAAATTCGCTGAAGATCATCTTAAAAAGGGTTTATGAAAAGTTTTTTGAGGACTGGAAAAATCGTTGGCATAAGTGTTTTACATCTGGTAGAGATTACTTTGAAGGCAACAAAATAAATTTTGATGAATAATTAAATATTTTGCGATATATTTACAATTTCCAGAGACTTTTTTGTCACAATGTAAACTATAAATTTTCATTCTGCGCCATCGTGTGTACTGATAAATAAGTGATTAAGTAGTTTTCTGAATTTTAAAAAAACTTTTTAAATTGTAAAATGGTAATTTTTAAATTTTGGTAATCAATTTTCAACAATGGCTTATATTTGAATATACTAGAATATATTAAAATAGTACGTTAAAATTTGCTATTAAGGTTAATGTTGTAAATGGACTTAATTTCATATAAATATTTAAATCGAGTTAGTTGTATAAGTCAAAAACACATAATATTGGAATAGCAGGGCTGATAATTTGGGTTTCTTCCATTGTACTATATACTTTAACAATCATGTCATCGAATAACCTTCGTTAAATATATGAAAGACTGAGTCATTACATAATCTATTCATCACAAAAAATGTTGAGATTTCCAAAAAGACAAAAAAAAATTAGGGAAGGATCTTAAAGTGTGTCAGAGAAATGAGAATTCTACCACATTGTCAGCAGAAACATTTTTCCTTAAAATATGCCTCAGAGGAGGTAAAATTGGACAATACCTGAGTTTTAAGGGGGCCGGAATGCTCACTTCCATAGCGGATACTGTCGATTCAATAGTAAAGTATGAAGTTTTTGACATTTTTTTGTGCTTTACATTTAATGAAACGGCTATTGTTATCGAAAAGAACCTTCTTCTTTTTTATTTATTTATCGGTTATAGCCGAGTTTACAGCAGCGTGACAGTCGTTCTTCCTTTTCGCTGTTTTTCTCCAAATGGAGATTCCAAGTGTATCCAGGTTCTTCTCCACCTGGTCTTTCCAACGTAGTGGAGGTATCGCAGAGCTAGAGAGTTCGAAGTTATGACTGTCAACACTGAAGTGGGAGTCAAGTCGCGAGTAAGATGACTATTTGTTTAATGACAGGAGATATTTTATTTTGCCGTCATTCAATATCCTATTAGACCTATTTGCTTCGCTTCCCTATCCAGTCTGAAAAAGCAGAACTAACGATGCGGATGTTAGGCCACTGGTATCAATATCAGCGGCGTACGCCAGTAGCTGTATACTTTTATATAAGATTGTATCTTCTCTATTTAGCTCTGCAGCTCGAATTATTTTCTCAAGGAGTAGATTGATGAAGTGGTACGATAGGGAGTCGCCTTGTCTGAAACCTCGTTTGGTATCGAACGGCTCGGAGAGGACCTTTTTCCATTTCTCTGGTACTAGTCAGAATAAAATAGCAATCATCGTGCTGATTTACTGTTTTCCGCTATATCATTGGCACAGCAATATATAAATGTATATAGAAACAGGCCTTTCCTATTATACAATTCACAATGGACAATGTTTTTAACAATGGAATAAGGAATTCAAAACCCTTAATCACATTCTTGTTAGAGAAATTATGTCACACAGTGTAATTTACAGAAGATACAATATTTCAAAAAAGGTTTACAGGTTAAGTGCGGTAGGTTGTAGAATATTTACAATTTATTATTATTAAAATTTTCGATTGAAATGCGGCCTAGGAACATGTTTAAGTACGAGCTTGTATGTATTTTAAAAATATGAAATTTTTGATGTTTGCTTCAAAACAGAATTATGGACTTTGCATTGCTTGCTGACAAAAACTAAATCACAATAACGCATGGCCAATATTTTTTCAGCATGAAAACTTCTTTTTGGGAAATACACACACTCCCTGAATTTGACTCTTACATTTTTCCTCGACACTTTGCCGAGCATTTGCTTTAATTCGCTTCTTTTTATTCACAGTAAATTGTTCGATCTTCGGGCGTAAGAAGAAACAATGTCGCGACAAATACTTAGCTAAACACAATGCCATATTTGACAACTTGGATGTGGTCACATATGAAGAGGTTGTAAAAGTGCCAGGTATGCATTGCCCTTAACGGTTTAAAATCAAATTATATGCAACTAAATATAAACATTGTTTTACTGTTAGTCGGTGATCCAAACTTTCAACGGAAAACGTTGGTTTTGCTTGGTGCGCATGGTGTGGGTCGCCGTCACATTAAGAATACACTAATTTCCAAGTATCCCGATAAATATGCATACCCCATACCACGTGAGTATACTATTTGTATAAAAATGAAAATATAAATTATATTTATTAACTTTCGATATGCTTGTAGATACAACGAGACCTGCAAAACCGGAGGAGGAGAGTGGACGCAGCTATTACTTTGTATCGCACGACGAGATGATGGCCGACATTGCTGCGAATGAGTATTTGGAGTATGGTAAGTGCTCGACTTGAAGGTTTGCCGAACTAATTTATATAAAATCGCTAAATATTGTATTTTCATTAAAGGCACTCATGAGGACGCCATGTACGGCACCAAACTGGACACCATACGTCGCATACACACCGAAGGCAAAATGGCCATATTGGACGTTGAGCCACAGGCGTTGAAGATTCTACGCACTGCAGAATTTACACCCTATGTCGTGTTTATTGCGGCGCCATCATTACAAAATATCGCCGATGTAAGTCGCAACAAATCATATTCGTAGCAATCGTAATATATTTTGCTATTTTCATTTGCAGTACGATGGCAGTTTGGAGCGTTTGGCAAAAGAGTCCGATATGTTACGTCAATTGTATGGACACTTTTTCGATTTGACGATCGTAAACAACGATATAAGCGAGACAATTGCCACGCTGGAAGCGGCCATCGAGCGTGTACACACCACACCACAATGGGTGCCAGTTTCATGGTTGTACTGACAAGACAGTGAGCTTGAGTGTCCCGACTGCTTAGAGGGCTGTGACTGTGAATGGGAAGCATACGCAGCCGGTGCCCAACAACCAAATACGGGCCTCTTCTGAACTATTACAACAAACAATAGTAAATCTAATAAAAAAGCACCGTTCAAGAACATCACTTGGGGAAATCAACTTACATATATACACACGCGTATACCGAGGAATGATTATTAAATAAGAATTAAGGCAAGATGCATAAGTAAAAAAACAAAGCAAACGGAAAAGTTCAGAAAAAAAAGAAAACATAAAGACATATTTACTTGCAGCAGTGCACAAAGTGACACCAGCAAATACACACGAAACACAAACATACACTAGTTCGTAGAAAAATTTATAAATGAAAATTTGGGTGCAACAACATTATAAAACAATATAGTATAGTATAGGCAATAAAGAAATAAAGAAAAATTAAGCATTAACACTTAAACACGGACATACATACATTCCAAATAATTGAAAAGACAACGTAAAATAATTGAGCATGTCTGTTTTGAGTACACGCATACACAAGAACAGTGCAGCAGAAACTTTGAAACCTAAAAATTTTCACGTCTTGAGCATTTTTTAGCACACGAGTAATTTTGCTTATGAGTAGCTGGTAATTAATTATTTTGCTTTCAATAGTGTAAACTTGCAAGGGTTGCAATTTTATTTTTTTTTTTTAAATATGAGTTAAAAATTAAATTTATAATTCCGGTTTATTGAATGGCAAATTTAATTTTTAAGCATACATAAAGAAAATATTATTTTTTGTTTTAAAAAAAAGTAGTGAAAGTAAAACCGAACAATGCCTTTAACACACAGATGTCTAAATCTGTCTCTTATACACATCTAGATGTGTATAAGAGACAGTTATATATTATATATATTTAGATTAATACAATGAATCGCATAAAGTCAGTAAAACCAAACCAAACCAAACAACAACAACAAAGTGAAACAATACAGTTAAAAAAAGACAAAAAGAAAAACAAGAATAAAACACTAAATAAGAATTAACGAAAAGCAAAGAAAAGAATGAAATCCACAAAATTAATTAAAAGAAAAAAAACATGAAATACACCAAAAATAAATTTAAACAAAACGTGTTTTCTTTGCCGCNATTTTTCGGGTTGCTTTCCCTAGGGTTTGCGATTATTTTGTTGAAAATTGAAATCCAAGTTTTTGGGTGTAAAAGAAGAAGATATTTTTTAATTAAAAAATTTGAGCAATAGATAAAAAACGCGATAAATTAAAGCAATTAAATATTGATTAAAAATTATACTTCCATTTTAATATAAAAGCACGCAAACGGTAAAAAGCGGAAACTCTAAATCACTTTTTTAAGCTTTAATTATAATTTTTGAATTAAACAAAAACGTATTAAATATTTACTTGTAATTCCTGATTTTTGGGATTAAAATCTTGTGCATAATTTTTTTTTTTTTGTTTTTAAATTTCTATTTTCGGGATTACATTTTGTTTATTATTTTAATTAAATTTAAATTTTTTTTAATTTTCCAATCTAGTTTTTGGGTTTAAAAACTTAAAATTTTTTAAATTAAGGTTTTCCAAGGTTCAACATAAAAAAAAAACTTGTGATGCTTTTTGTGGTATTAAATTTTTTTTTTTGTTTTTGTCATAGCAATGTTGCACGTGTGTTAAATAGTGGCAAGTTGTGAAATTTTCGAAATATAAAGGACTTTATTTGGTACTTTGTTAAGTTTACTCAGAGCAATTGTTAAATGTTTTATTTATTTCAAAACGCTTATGTAAAGTAAAATATTTATACATGTGTACACACACACATACACAAGTACTTGTTAAATTAATTTAATGTAACTTTTAATTATAGTACTTCTTAAAATGAACTATTTGCAATTAAGTGAAAGAGAACTTGCAAAGTATACTGCATATAATTAATGATTAAAATTTTACGAGCGGGTACACAAACACAATAAACTAAAAGTATTATTGAAAAGTATTCAACCGATGCAATTAAGAGTGTTTCAAAATAAGAGTCACAAAAAGCAAATTAAGTAAATTTTAAATGAAAATCATGCAGTTGTAAACAATGAAAGTAAAACACAAAGTAAACAAGTAAAAAGAGTTATAAACAAAGAACAACAACCAAATAATATTTGCACTTTTTAACAAAATAATACAAAATGCATAATAAACAAAGTAAACGTTGCAGAGAAAAAGTTTACGAGCAAGCAAGTTTGCTGAGCTTTAACTCTGCAGCACAAGTCAGTCTAATGCAACGTGAAGAGCAGTGAAGTAAGCACAAAAACAAAAAAACAAATAACGATACAATTAAAGCATTCATACACACATCTACACATATAAGAATTAAATGAAATAAAAAAGCACATGAAAAATAGTTAATAAATAAAAAGCGGTAAAGAAGRGAATCATAGTAATAATTTTAGTAAAGTTACTGTCAACCGAATACTAAAAACAAAAAAAGGAAAAATAAAAATRTAAATGAAAAACAGTAAATTGTAAACCAATTAAAAAATATTCGAAACGCGGACACACAGGTATGCAATGAAAAGATAATCGTACAAGTATATTACGTACATATGTACATGCATTAAATATTTGAGAACCGTTACATGGAATCGTTAAGAACGTTGAGAGAAATGGTAATAATTTGATTACAAATAACTCAGGTTGAATTATTTCAAAATGTGAAAGCAGACAACTGTAAATGTATTGAATTTTTTCCAATAAACTAACTAAGAGAATCTAACACAAAGCCCCACCAGCAGCATGTAAACCCTTCTATTAAGGCAACACAAATGAAGATCATCACGGCATCACGTCACTGCATATATGTAAGTGTTATCCTTTACACGCTTTTATACGTGACATAAGCACACATTTAACGCTGCAGGCTGTCATAGCGAAATCACATGCACACTCATACATACATATGTACATTTCGGTACGTATAAGCTTCAGTTTCTGGCGCGGGCATTATTTCAAGTCACTATTGAGTACAATACTAACAGCTTTTCCCATTTTAAATTTATATGCTTTCAATGTAGCAATTTCAGAAATATTAATTTTTATATATAATATATATTATTTTTTTTGTAATATTTGCACTCGGTTGCTGTTCATTTACATATAAGCAGAAAAAAACTTATTTAATATGAAAAACTGTTTGCAATTTAGCGACAAATTTACATATGTACATATGTATATGCAGGGTTGAGATTTTTTTTTTTTAATTTTCATTTCATTTTCTGTGTGAAAGATTAAATTTTTAAATTTAAAATTAAATTCCCAATTTTCAACACAGATTTTGTGTTCAATACGTTGTTGGGATTAAACATTTAATTTTTATTGATAATATGGGTTTTTTTTTTAATTTTCATTTTTCTAAAATAAAAAGAAATTTAAATTTATAAATAAATATTGAAATTTTTATTTGTATTCAAAGTTTTTTAGTATTAAAAACTGAAAATTTTAACTTTTTATTTTCAAAGTGAAAAGCAAAACATATATTCAACATCAGAATTGAAAATAGATAAAATGTGAACATAATATGCTTGGAATTCAAATTTTTTTCAATCCGGTATTTGGGCTTGAACATTTAAGAATTAGTTTTTATTAATTAAAAATTAAAAATATATTTTAACCTTGATTTTGCATCCAATATATTGGGATTAAAGATTAAATTTTTAATTTTATTTCTGATGATTATGGGATTGAAAGTTAAGTGGCGGAGATATGTGAAATAAATTTTGAGAAAATTCCAAAATCCTAAAAATTTACAATTTACATATACTCGTATGTGCATATATGTATGTGTGCATTTTTTCATTTTAATAGTAAATCTTAATGTAAATGTAAATTTAATCTTAAATTTTAAATAAATTTTTAATTTTTTGTATTCTTCTTTAAATTTGTTTTACATATTTTAGAAACTTAAAAATAAATTGTACTGTTTTTCCTTGGAATTGGTTGCCATTACTGGAATGTGTTGTTTTACCAATAATTACTACTTATAAACTCTATCCATATATTTAAAACTGCCGTTAGTGCATATATTTCATTTCATTTAATTTAATATTTTTGTTTTATTCCATTTTTAGTTTCATTACTTAACCATATTCATGTCATGAATAGTATGGAAAGAAAACTAACAACAAAAATTGTCAAAAAAAAGTACATCATACATACATACATATATGCAATTATTTCATTAGTGACTTATCATTTCACCCAATCAACCACAAACGTGAGTAGATACACAGCATACCTACACACATACATGCATACATACTAATCCAACAGACAAATATATTTACCGTATTTCTGAGCTTATTTTGTAGTTTTTGAGAGAACAAAAAAACTTTTGTAAGTATCTTTAAGATTCTATGGTTTCAAAGGGTTGATGATTGTAATCGAATATTTCAGCAAATTTAAAGAGAGATAATTAAATAAAAACGCGAACGCTGTAATACTACTCTTGCTATGAAGTTGGAAGGGGGAATGTGAAAAAGTTCCCCCCCAACACAATGAATAGTAACTGTACTTCACACTACTATGCATTAAATTAATTGTTAATTTCAAAAGTTATATACACTTTCTAACTAAGAGACATAAGCTAACAAACATGTGCTGCATGCATGTTGGTTAAACACTAAAACAAAAGCAAATAAGTCATATAAAATAGGCGGTAAAAAATTGACTAAGAAGTGGTTGAGGCCATTTGAAAACTGTTGCCAAACTAAACTTAAATCGCTCAATTTACGTTTTACTAAAATGAAACTAGATTACAATTAGATTTAAATAGACTACTATATAGACTAGGAAGATGCCTGGTTAAGGAGCTAGTTGGAAGTCCAAGTCCCACATCCTGCCACAACATTGCTGTACATTCCCTCATCAAAAGCAAACACAGCGTAACTTCTCATCTCTTATATGTATGTTTAACCGTTGTTTTCCACCCTATGACCACCCTCCTGCCTTAGTTCCGCACCACCTCGTCCATTTTACTGCAATGTTCTTTTATAGTGAAAATATACAGCTGCTTAGATGCTTACTTAAACAGGGCGTGGTAGCAATTATGATTAAGTATGAATAACATAATACGAGTAGGGGGAATTTTACTCAATAACGGTACTTAAATTAGCAATTCAAAGTAGGTTTTCATTACAAAAAACGCTAACATACAAACATGCATACTTATAAATTATCACTAACGTACACACTACTAGCGACATTGACAAAATTAATATACATTTAATACATTTATAGAAAATCACTGCTTTGAGAATCAAAATTACACATACAAACGCGTAGAATAAAATTTGACGAAAAACGAGCAGCCGAAAAGCGAACGCACTTTACGCTAAAGAGCCAAGCACACACTTTTGTCCCTTTGAGTGAAAGTCATGTTTATTAAAAATCGGGATGCATAAATGAATATATATATTTACATGTACAATAAACGAGTAACGGCGGCAAGAACTTGAAGCAGCGCTTGCTTGCATGTCATTATTAGAATTTATTTTCGAAACACTTTAGAATAAATAAATTTAGCATTATTTCAATGAAATGAATTGAAATTTTAAGAAATCATAAGTTGTAATGGGTACCTTAGCTGTACGGGGGTGTAATTTAATTCTGGCTATTCGTAGAAAATGGCTTAAACATTAATTTAATTGTTGAAAGTTTTTTATTAGAATTATCTATACACACATATTTTCTTTTAAATGCAACTCATCAAAGAAACAAAAAGAAAAGCGTCAATCATTGCAACAACACTAAAAATCGAGTTTGAAATATGTACATACATACATACATGCATATGTAGCTCACACATACATATGTGTATGTGTTCAACAGTAATATAAAGCCGTTAAAAGTAATACTAAAATAATGAAAAAACAGTTGTTATTTAAGCAGAATTAAAGTTAAAGAAAATAAAATTAAT